TGATAGAACCATCTCAACTCTCCGGGCCACATTGGCCGCCTCCTGGAAAGATATCTCACTCCCAGTCTCCCTAGCCATCTGAAGACGAATCGGCTGAATAAGACTATCAATAAACCTCTTCACCCTCTCTCTCTCTCTCTCTCGGTAGGAGTATGATAAGAGCATGACGAGCCAAATCGATGAATCTGGTCTCATACTAGGTGACAGTCATGGAACCCTGTAGGCGCTCAAACTGCCTCTGATAGGCCTCTCGCTGTGTAATAGGGAGAAACTTCTCCAGAAATAGCTGCGTGAACTGCTCCTAGATCAAGGATGGCGATCCGGCTGGTCTAGCCAAGCAATAATCTCTTCACCAAGTCTTTGCGGATCCAGACAAGCGAAATGTGGCAAAATCGACCCCGTTGGTCTCGACTATCCCCATGTTCCTAAGAACCTCGTGACAGCTGTCTAGATAATCCTGGGGATCCTCAGTAGATGCACCGCTGAAAGTAGTAGTGAAGAGCTTGGTGAACATGTCCAATCTCCACAAGGCATCGGCAGACATAGCTGCTCCATCACCGGCCTAGGCTACCGCACCCGGCTGAGCTGGTCCAACTGGCTGAACTGCTGGAGTCTGGAACTGGGGAGCTACCTGTTCCGGAGTGCGAGTAGTAGGAGTCTGGGCTCCTCCTCCAGCCTGAGAGATGGCTGGTGCTACAGGAAGCAAGCCTGCCCGGGTGACACTCTCCATAAGGCCCACTAGGCGGATCAGAGCTCTAGGTTACATGGGTCTCACAGTTCACAGACAAGCTTAGTAGAGTCTAAGGGATCATTTACAACCATTACTCACCTCGAACCGGTCAAATCTCTAGCTCGCGATGCCTTTTCCCTTCGAATTGGCCTCCGGATGCTCCAAATCTAGCCACAATCAGTACAAAATCATTAAAATATGCAAAGGGAACGAAGCCCACTCGAAAATATCCAATTTACATCAAAAATCCGAAATTGCTCAAACCCCCCCCCCCCCCGGGCTCACGTCTCGGAATCCGACAAAATTAACATCAATGGAATCCTCATCCTCTCACGAGTCTATACATATCAAGAACATCAAAATCGAACCTCAAATGGCCCCTCAAATCCCAATTTTAGACTCTCCAAATTCAAGCCCTAATTTTCTCAATTTTAGGCTTAATTCCATGATTAATTAGGTGGAATTCACACAAGAATCGAGTATTGAGTTCAAAAATCTTACCTCCAAGAAACCCTCTTGAATTCCCTCTTCAATTAGCTCTCCCAAGCTTCAAAATCTCCCAACAATGGAGGTTCTTAGCCTCAAAATCGCGAAATAGCCCTTTTAAATCATTCTGCCCAGGCATAAAAATCCTTCTTCGCGAACGCGGTTAAAGCCTCGCATTCGCGAAGCACAAAAATCCGCTGACCAAAATTCCTTCTTCGCGATCGCGTCTTGCCACTCGCGAACGCGATGCTTCCACAGACTAACCTTCGCGATCGCGTAACCTTTTCTCGTGAACGCGATGACCAATCACACAGCCCTTCGCGAACGTGGTGCCTACCTCGCGAACGCGAAGGCTAAATTCCAGCCTTCACCAGCTAACCCTTCGCGAATGCGAAGGCCATTTTCTCTGCAACACTGAACCTGCAAATCTGCAACTCCAAACTTCATGAAATGGTCCGATTGACCACCCGAAACTCACCCGAGGCCCTCGGGACCTCAACCAAACATGCTAACATATCCCATAACATCATTCAAACTTGTTCCCACCTTCGGCACGCTCAAAACAACATCGAAACACTAAATTCGCATCGGATTCAAGCCTAAGAATTCCAAAACCTTCTAAATTACTCTTTCGATCAAAAACTCAAAGAAACCACGTCCGAATGACCTGAAATTTTGCACACACATCCCAAATGACACAACGGAACTACTGCAACTTCCGGAAATACATTCCGACCCCTATATGTAAATCTCACCTATCAACCGGAAAATGCCAAAACCTCAATTTCGCCAATTCAAGCCCAAACCTTCCACGGACTTTCAAAATGCATTCCGATCACGCTCTTAAGTCCACATCACCCAACGGAGCTAACCAAATCATAAAAATTCCGATCCGAGATCATAGACAAACAAGTCAAATCTTGGTCAAACCTTTCAAATTTCAAGCTTCGACTGAGAACTGTTTCTTCCAAATTCATTCCGATTACCCTGAAATCAAAACCAACGATTTCCATAAGTCATAGTACATCACACAGGGCAAGTCATGCCCGTAAACTGGCGAACAAAGTGTAAAAGCTCAAAACGACCGTTCGGGTAAGGAATAAATAAAGTAGACTGATAGTCAATTACATGAATAAGGAATAAAAAGAGTTTAACTTGTATACATCGATCTTAAGAAATTTACACTATCAGGTAATCCAAAATATATCTGCATGTAACCCTCCATACAAAGCGGGATCTGAAATAAGGCAAGCTACTTGTTACAATAGGTAAGGTAACATGAAAGTCGTAAAAATTATTTATACCGTCAATGGATATTAGTTCAACTTTATTTTTACAAATATATAAAGAAAATGAGATGAAAATAGCAACCAAAAAAAAAACCTCCAACATAATATTGATGGACATATTTCCAACAATTACAGATCAAAATAATACTCTCCACACAAATGAAAAAGGAAAAAAGTTTTAACAACATTGTACATGAAAAAGATATGAAAAGAAAATCATTGGAAAATAGTATTCCAAAAGGTATTGATTTCTTCATCATCCTGAGGTATTTCCCATGCAGCAATATCATCTAATTCAGAAAATGTGGGAATAAAATTTTGATTTAAGTTGCAATTTCCTTGAGTAGAAGCTCTTGCAAGTCCTTCAATTTGATTTTCATTTGAATTCAATTCATTAGCTTGACATAATTCTGAGTAATTTGAACCATTTCTCAAATTTTGCCTGTCGTCATTGCACAGGAACGACTGTGTTAATCTTCTTTGTATCGTTTCAATTTTGTTAGATGTCCGTGACGGGACTTCTAAGAAATTTAAAATAGAAGAATAATCATTGGAGAATGAATTAGTATTATCCAAACAAGGAATTGTTGTAGTGAAATTTGCTAGAGAGGAATCCAAGAATTGGGGTTGACCACTCTCATATTTAAGGCTCTCAAATAATAGAGGATTTGAATTGCTTAAAATATTGCCTTGAATTGATGAAAATAAGTTTGAATTTATGAGTTGTTGGATTTTGGCTAGTAAAGTAAAATGTGTTTGTAATCTAAGGGTAGATGCTAAAGAAACAAAATGGTTGGAGTTAGAGGTAAATTGATTAGAAAATTTTAGAAGGGAATTAAGATCAGATATTGGTTTGTGTGTTTGGGGGTCAATTCCTAATTTGAGAAGCTTTTTCTTTAAATGTGTGTTATAGAAATTCTTGATTTCATTATCAGTTCTTCCTGGAAGATGAGCTGCAATTCTTGACCACCTACAAAAAATAGCCACAAATTTAGAAATTAGAGTTTAATGCTACATAATGATGGTGTAAATTTCGATTACATCATCATACCATCTAAAAGATAACTATAATGTACGGGTAATTGTTCATAATAAGTAGTAATAACATGAAAAATCCATAATTTTTTCCAAAATAAGAAATATTCGAGGGATTTGCCCTTACAGCAACAACATATCCAATATAATCCTATAAGTGGGGTATGGGTAGGGTAGTATGTACGCAAAACCTTATCTCTATTGTTTCTGATAAACCCTTGGCTCAAAGAAAGCAAAATCACAACAATTTTGAAAAAGAGATACGATGGTACGATAGTGAAGAAGCCATGGGAGAGAGATGCAGTAGCCACATCAAAAAAAAAAAATAAGATAGCCTAAGCAAAAGAAACAACAGGTAGTAACAAAACTTTAAGAATAAGAATACTATACTATCAACTGAACACCCTTCATCGGAAAATTATACTGAGTATATAAAAAATTATAATATATATAGTTAAAATAACTTTCTATAAATATATTTATTAAACCTTGAACACCCTTTAAAAAATTTTTGATTTTACCACTATAGACTATACTAGTACACTACAGGTATGGGAGATGGATTAGCCCTTCAAAAATTAAATAAATTTAATAAAAATATCACTTTGTTGAAAAAATTTAATATTATCGAGTATATTTTTATACACCATCATATCATTTAAAAGATAATTATAATCTACACGTAACTATTCATAATAAGTGAGATTATTTTTCTTTTTTGAATTGGATTTCAGATAGAAATAAGAAGAATATTGTAACACTTACTTATTTCCAAGAACAGAATGGAGATTAATGATAATTTCTTCTTCTTCATGTGAAAATCCTCCTCTTTTAATATCAGGCCTAAGATAATTATTCCACCTTAATCTGCAACTCTTTCCACATCTCTTCAAACCTGCTTTTCTTGGAATTAATTGCCAATTTGTGTGACCATTTTTCTTTATATAATCAATCAATTTCTCATCTTCATCTTCTGTCCATGGCCCTTTCTTCAAATCATTATCATCTAATTTGCAACAAGGATATCTTCCCATTTTTAATATTTAATGAAGAAAAAAGTAGGAAAAAATTGAAAGATATATTAGGAGAAGTTTTTGAGATATATATCAAGCAAGCTAAGTATAGTGATGGCTTTTATAACTGCATGGAAAATATATAATATAATTATGTTCCAAATTATGGTCAAAGTATTTCTTGATATTATTATCCAAAGAGAGAGCTTCAAGCAACACGACAAGTAATGGAAAAGAAGTCATCTAGAGACCTTTTTGACATTTTTCAGCAGAAGGGTGGATTATAGTGTTCATGAATATTTAATATGAAATAAAATAAGAAGTAGGTAATATCAAGTTTATAAAAAGGGCAGACCGATGCATAAAGCATATCTCACATTCACGCATGATCCGGGAAAAAGCCGCAGCCAAAGGGTGTGATGTAGATAGCCTAATACCTTAATGCGAGCATTAGTGGCTGCTTCGTCTACTGTTCGAACATGTGACCTATAGATCACACTGACAGTTCCAGGTTTATGTATAGTAATGTAGGTGATATATATAGAGAGAGATCACACTGACAGTTCGTCTAAGGCTTGAACATATGACCTATAGATCACACTGACAGTTCCAGGTTTATGTATAGTAATGTATATATATTACAAACTACCAAGATCAGCTATTACAAATTTTGTATACTGAGTGGCTTGTGACCACTTTCACTCAAATAAAACTAGTTAAATCCTTAATTCAATAAAAAATTAAACAGTATTTCCTTTTTTTATGGTCTAATTGTTGGTCATTGAGTTGGAAAAGTTCTAGAATATCATGGAGTACAAAACGTATATAACTTTTTTTCTTATAAAACAAAGTATTAGGAATATGAAGATATTAGAGTGAATTTGCTATTGAAGTGTTTTAGCTTATTTGCATAGTCAACAAAAAATTTATAACCATCTCGAGTAGCTTGATTTTATGTGAAATTCACACAAAAAAGAGATACAGTTATCTTTTAAATAACTTGATAATACAAAATAATTAATTATGTTGTTAGTATATAAAAGTTAAACTATTTTAAGTATGATAAACTGCAACTATATACGTTAATTGCACTAAGAAACGTGAAGCCTAATCATCTTTGTCAATTTAACCTCCTTTAGAAAGTTTAAGGTCGAGGTGCAGCAGATTAAAAGTATACGTACAAAATAAAGACACAGCAAATTAAATTAACAATTCAAATCCTTTTTGCCTTGTACAGAAGAAACATGCAATTTATCCAGCACTAATAATTCGTTGTCAAATGATTAGTTTGGCTGCTTTCAGAAAACATCATCGACTTTGTCATCATTTTGGTCTGATACCACCTAGCCTTCTTCTTTCTCTTTAACTGCTCTAAATGTATGATGTGTTTTGCAAATATATTTTTTACCACTTAACTATGATAAATTAAGATATATTTTTACCTTATTAAATTACTTAACTAAATAATGATATTACCCTTTTATTCTAAGAGCTTGAAAAAGCTCTGACTTCTCTCTACTTTCTCTCTCTAAAAACAGCGACGACGGACGCGCATTGACGGTGAACTAACGTGCGCCTCTGCCGGCATGGGTAGGGGGACCAAAGAGAGTGATCCAGATCACAAATACGAGTAAGGAATCAATAATTGAGCAAACGAAGAAGATCGATGACATGCAGAAGAAAGAATTGAAACAACTGAATCATACAGAATTCAGGAATATAGGGGAGAAGATGGAGTTCTATAGGCAAAAGCTGCAAGATATACAAACACAAAGGGGCCATCACACTCAACCAAATCTACTGTTTGAAGAAGAGAAAGAAGTGAAGATGAAACTAGAGAGATGGAACCTAGTGGAGGAAAGTATCCTAAAGCAGAAATCTAGGAATAAATTGTTAGAGCTGGGTGATGAGAACAATGCTTATTTCTTTGCCAGTTTAAGGAGCAAACAGACTCAGAACAGGATTACAAGCCTTAGTGATTCTAAAGGAAACATTATTCACCAACCAGAAGACATTGCTGTAGAAGTAACTAGTTTCTACAAAACACTACTAGGGAGTGCTGCTAACCAGCTTCCAGCAATAGACCCTGAGGTAATGAGACGTGGAAAAGTGCTTAATAGACATCAACAATTGCAGCTAGTGCCACAGGTTACTCAGGAAGAGCATTTCAAGCCCTTATGAGTATTGATGATCATAAATCTCCAGGATGTGATGGATTCAATGCGCTCTTTTTCAAGAAAGCTTGGAGTGTGATTGGAAACAAGGTTACTGAAGTTGTCCTCCAGTTCTTCATTGATGGAGATATATACAAAGCTATAAACTGTACAACAATTACACTAATCCCAAAGATCAAGAACCCTACAAAAATATCAGAATCCAGACCAATAGCATGTTGCACTATGCTATATAAGCTGATTTCCAAAATCCTTACTACTAGGATGCGGGGGACGATGGACAGTCTTGTGGACAAAAGTCAATCAGCCTTTGTTCCAAGAAGATTAATCACAGACAATATCATTCTGAGCCATGAATTGGTGAAGGGCTATGGAAGGAAAGGTATCACTCCTAGATGTATGCTAAAAATAGATATGAGAAAAGCATATGACTCAATAGAATGGCCATATGTTGAACAAATCCTACAATGCCTCCTTTCCCAGCAAAGTTTATCAGATGGATTATGTGCTGCATTTCAACTGTATCCTATTCAATTCTACTCAATGGAGAGCCACTACCACCATTTCCAGCTAAGAAAGGTCTAAGGCAAGGAGACCCTCTCTCCCCCTTCCTATTTTTGCTTGCCGTGGAATACTTTAGTAGAAGTTTGAAGGGTGTCTGTGAGGACAAAAGGTTCAAATTTCATCCAAGATGCAAAAAGATGCAGATTATTCAGCTTGGATTTGCAGATGATCTCTTATTATTCTGCAAAGGAGAACTAGAGTCTATCACCATGTTGATCCAGTGCTTCCAAAAATTCTCACAAGTGTCTGGATTGAGTGCCAATACTGAGAAAAGCTCAGTGTACTTTGGTGGTGTCCCTCAGGATATCCAACAGTTAATTCTACAGGCTACCCAATTTGGCAAGGGGGATCTACCTTTTAGGTACTTAGGAATTCTCTTGAGTACAAAAAGGCTGTCTATTATTCAATGCAAACCTCTAATAGACAAGATGCTTGCTAGAATAAAATCATGGACCACTAGATACTTATCATATGCTGGAAGAATCCAACTTGTGAATCTGTATTGTACTCTATTCAAGTCTACTGGTCACAAGTGTTTGTGCTGCCAAAAAAGGTTGCTCAGATGATAGAAGCTACTTGTAGAAGCTTTTTGTGGACTGTAGGTAGTGATCTTAGCAAGAAAGCATTGATTGCTTGGGATAGTTTATGTCTTCCCCTAAAGCAGCTGGGGGTCTAAATATATAAGACATCTATGCATGGAACAGGGCTGCTATTGGCAAACTCCTATGGAACATATGCAGGAAGAGATTGTTTATGGGTAAAGTGGATCCACTCTTACTATAACTCCTATGGAACATATGCAGGAAGAAAGATTGTTTATGGGTAAAGTGGATCCACTCTTACTATACCAAGGCAGGGGAAGTATAGGAGACTAAGACTACTCAAGCCTCATGGGTGGTACAGAAGATTATTAAAGCAAAAAGCATGTTTGAAAAAATAGGTCTCCATGAAACAGATGTAGCTGCTATGACCAAATACTCAATAAAGGACATATATGGAGCCTATCATGGGGAATTTCAGAAAGTGCTTTGGAGAAGACTGGCCTGCAATAATAATGGACAGCCTAAATGGACATTCATCTTATTCTTGGCTCTTCACAGAAGACTGCAAACTAAGGAGAGGATAGCATGCTTGTCTAATCTAGATGATATGGAATGTGTGCTATGTAAACAAGAGAATGAAGTATCGACCATTTACTATTTGAGTGCATATATGCTAAACAGGTGTGGTCAAAGCTCCTAGCTTGACAAAGCATAAGAAGAGAAGTGTGGAACTGGAAGCATGAAGTGCAATGGGCCATAGAAAATGCTACTGGGAAGACTGCCCAACAGGAGGTATACAGAATGACATTAGCTGGTGGAGTGTATCACTTATGGCAGGAAAGGAATGCAAGAACTTTCAAGGAAAGCAGCAGATCTGCAGATCAAGTGGTCAAACAACTGATAAGAGAAATTCATGTTAGAGCTCGCAGAGTTAGTAGATTGGATAGATATATGAAAGATTTGAAGTTTTATCCTTAGGAAATAGAGCTTGTAGACAAGGCTGAATAGAGATGGTATGCAGCAAGTTTGGGACCTTATGTCCAAACTGCAGATTTCCGGATGTGAGATGGGTGTAACTGATTTTGTGATGAAATAAAATATAATATAATTTCCACAAAAAAAAATTACTTAACTATAGTAGATTATATATGATTTGGTATAAACATGAGAGTGCGTTCACTTCAACATCTAAATATAACAAAAGGATTTATTAATTACTTATAGGAAAAGCAACAAATTTGTCTTAGTATTATCCAAAACCGGCCTCTCTACCTGCATTAGGTAAGGGTAAGGTCTGCGTACAGACTACCCTCCCCAGACCCCACCTTTTAAGTCAAACTAGATTTGTTGTTGTTGTTGTTGTTGTTGTTGTTGTTGTTGTATTATCCAAAACTGAGTAACGTTATCATCCGTTAAACATTTTGTTTAATATTACTCACGTCGTTAGGAAAAAATTTCATTTTTTCTCTTGACCTCTAACGGAGTTTCAACTTGAGGATAATTTTAAACATTAGTCAAAATTAAATATTACTCATGTCGTTAGACTTTTTTCTTTAAGAAGAATTTGCATACATGAAGTCTACTCATTTTAGGTTGGAGTTCCGTTAGAGGTTAAGTGAAAATACGAGACAATTTGCTAATGATAAAGGTATGAATGGACCAAAAGGGGGTATAACATGTTAGGACCGAAAAAAGTCAGGTGTTATGCGGAAGCTAGTAAAGCAAACCTTCAATGACGATAAATCAGATAACAAAAGAGAAATCTACCAAAAGAGACACA